ATACCTCAGAAAGATCCTGTGCTCTAGATGCTGACCTGATTCGAGTTTAGATAGAAAATGAGCTTGGAGAAACGGTAAATGGCAACACGCTTGCCCTTGCCCGTGGCCGACTCAGGTTCTATCCCCAGCATCCCATAGGGTCCCCTGAGCCCTACCAGGAGTGATGCAGAGCCTGGAGTAAGTCTTGAGCATTGCTGGCTGTGGCCAAAAAACCAATAAAAATAATCAAGTTTCTATCACTGTATCACTGTCATCCTGTTGTTCATCGATTACCTCAAGCAGGCCCCAGTAACGTCTCCTTCATCCTAGCCCTGAGATTTTTTTTTAACAATGCTCCATGTCGCCAACATTTTTAGGCTTCCATATTTTTTATTATTTTTTTATTAGTGAAACACCATGAGGTACAGTTATAGACTTACAAATTTTTGTGCTTGGGTTTCAGTTATACAATGATCAAGTACCCATCCCTCCACCAGTGCCCATTCTCCACTAGCACGGGTCCCAGCATCCCTCCCACCCCCCATCCCCCCCATCCCACCCTGCCTCTGTGGTAGGGCATTCCCCCTTGTTCTCTCTCTCTTCTTTTGCTAGCCCTGAGATTTTAAAAAGTGCCGCATTCCAGGCTCTTTCAGGGTCAGGAGAATGAGAACCATCATTGTTACATTGTTACTGGTTTTTGGCATATTGAATACGCCATGCCACGGGGAGTTTGCCAGACTCTGCCATGTGGGAAGGATACTTTTGGTTGCCTGCCAGGTTCTCCAGAGTAAGAACTAGGTAATAAGTTTCTATAGGGAAAAAAAAAAGATCCAGAATGGCCAATTCAGCAATGAAGGACAAAGTTGGAGAAAGGGCATTTCCTGGCTTGGACACTTACTGGAAAGCTAGCTGATCAATTCACGTGGAGCTGGTGGACAGACAAATGGGCGAGTGGAAAGGCAAGTGGACACGCACAGGAGTCAAGTCAGGACCTTAGTGGACAAGAAGTAAAGACAGCCCCAGGGCATGACCGTCTTTTTCAACAAAAGGTGCTGAGCCACTGGCACCCACCGCGCTGGGTCTAAGGTCCTTTATCAGACAGGTGCCCAGGGACTGGAGCGATAGCACAGCGGGTAGGGCATTTGCCTTGCATGCAGCCGACTCAGGTTCAATTCCCAGCATCCCATATGGTCCCCCGAGCACCACCGGAAGTAATTCCTGACTGCAGAGCCAGGAGTAACCCCTGAGCATTGCCAAGTGTGACCCTCCCCAAAAAAAAACACCTCCTCCCAAAAATAATAAGGCAGGTGTCTGGCAGAAACCAGATGCCCACCAACAGCCAGCTCAGCATCAGTTCGGTGTGGAAAAGCAAGAAGGTGGCACAAGAAAACAAGCTTGTTTCTGGGTTTTTTCCTCTCTGAAAATAACCTCAATTTTTCCTATCTGAAAATGACCTCATGAAGACAAGAAGGGAGAGATGATCCAGCGCCCTGATCCTATTTTCTCCCGACTAATCTGCAGAGATTTCTCTGACTCTCAGTGCGGCCACCTATGAGTCACCTAGAGACAAAAAGTTCAGGCACCTGCTGGTTCCCCCTAAACGAAAGGTCCCCAAAGCTCGTTCCACTTCACAGCAACATTTACCCAGCTGTGCAGCAAACGATGGCAAATCCAGCATTTTTCTAGGGGAGCAGCTTAGAGCTCACCTGTTGCTGTGTGTGTGTGTGTATGTGTGTGTGTGTGTGTGTGTGTGTGTGTACGTGTGTTGCGGTTTTTGCATGCACCTGCACTCTCACACATGCTTGAAGCGGCATTTGTGTAGTCTTTACGCACATGGGCACACTCCTTGCCAAAGGGAAACGGAGCTTCAGGGCAGCCTTGGGGGCTGTGGGCTGGCTCAATCGTAAAACAAATCTCAGCACTCCCAGTTAAGCCTCCCTGCTCTCTGCCCCGGGGGACCCTGTACAGTGGCAGTGTAGCAGCCTGTGACTTGTCTGGGCTGTTCTCAGGGACTTTGGGGACAGTCCTCTGCCTTGGGCGTTCGTATCTGCTCTCGTGCTGGCCCAGTCTCGGGCTCCTAACAGGTACGCAGGTGCCTCTGAAAGCCTCAGGACACGGTGGCCAGGGTCCACACTGGCCAAGCCATCATGTCCACCCGCACTGGGTTGCAGGGCAGGACCACGTGACTGAGGCTCCACCCGGGGCTGAGCTGGACTTCCCTGGACGCCACAAGATCCACGTCCCCGAGAAGTGAGGCTTTACCAAGTCAGTGCAGAGGAGTGTGAAGCGGGATTAGGGACTTGTTGAAAGGCAGCTCATCCTGGATGGCTGTGGGGTCACACACACCCCTAATCATGAGACTGTGGACAAATATTGGGGGCACAGCATTCCCGACAGCCCCAAGGGACTCTGAGTCCCTGCTCCCCACCCCAGCCCTCACCATCCCACAGCACAGAAATTCTTTCTATAATTTTTATTTTGCCTTTTGAGTCACACCCAGCGATGCACAGGGGTTGCTCCTGGCTCTGCACTCAGGAATTACTCCTGGCAGTGCTCAGGGGACCACATGGGATGCTGGGAATCATGAACGTGGGTCTGTTCTGCACAAAGCAAATACCCCACCCGCTGTGCTATCGCTCCAGCCCCTATAATCTTTGTTTTGGAACCACACCCAGCAGTGCTCGGGGTTTACTCCTGGCTCTGTGCTCAGGGATCAGGCCTGGTCGGGTTCGGGGACCCTATGGGGAGTTGCGGATGGAACCCAGGTCAGCTGTGCGCAAGGTAAGTGCTTTACCTACTGTACTATATCTCTGGACTATATCTCTGGACCCTTGGTCCCTAAACCCTGCTTCTTAACAAGCACTGCACTGCACTATCCTCCCATTGTTCATCGATTTGCTCGAGCGGGCACCAGTAATGTCTCCATTGTGAGACTTGTCACTTTTTTGGCATGTTGAATACGCCACGGGGAGCTTGCCAGGCTCTGCCATGTGGGCGTGATATTCTCAGTAGCTTGCCAGGCTCTCCGAGGGATGGAGGAGTCGAACCCAAGTTGGCCACGTGCAAGGCAAATGCCCTACCCACTGTGCTATTGCTCCAGCCTTTAACCAGACCACTGATTCTTAACCAGACCAAAAGAAAAAGAAAAAAAAAGAAACTGGGGCCTGGGAGACAGTCCAGTGGCTTAGAGCACCTGCCTTGCAAGCATTAAGGTCAAGAGTTTAATCCCTGGGACTGCCACATGTGCCACGCATGGTCCCAGCAGCCTTGCTGGTTGATCCTGGCAGCTTCTACTAGCTGGGACCCCTGGTACTGCAAGAGAATTCCAGCAACACTGCTCTTTACTCTGCTCCTCTCCTGGTGAAAGAACCATGGCGACTCCATTTTGTGCCTTGGGATCCTGATTTACATCCTAGTAAGAAAAACACGCCAGACCCCAAGGGATGGACATAAACGCCTGGACATCTGACCACACAGATAAAAGAATGATTCAAAAAGATGTAAGAAGATGGGTTAAATTTGTAAGCTTACAACTGTACCTCATGGTGTTTCACCTATAAAAATTAATTAATTTTAAAAAAAGATTGGTTAAGCCCTCTGTCTCGCTTCTGTACCTCTGCGTGCTTGCTGGAGGCAGTGAGAATGCACCTGGCAGAGGGCACCTCCCACTCACAGGCAGGAGGGCAGAGGGCTTAAAATCTCCTCCGGAGGCTGGAGCAATAGGGCATTTGCCTTGCAGGCGGCTGACCCGGGTTCGATTCCCAGCATCCCATATGATCCCCCGAGCACCGCCAGGAGTGATTCCTGAGTGCAGAGCCAGGAATAACCCCTGTGCATTGCCAGGTGTGACCCAAAAGGCAAAAAACAAACAACAACAACAAGAACAAAACCCTCCCCCAGAGGGCGACTGGGGTTCCAAGTGTCTTAAGCTTGTGGACCCTCAGCGCTGAGTCGCCTGTACGAGTGTGTTTTGGTGTGTGAATAAGACCTTGAAACATCTGTCCCATCTCTGCATGTCTCCATCAGCTCGTGGCTACTTAACATCTGGAGATTCCGCCGAGATCACTGGCCACCTGCGGCTGGGAGCCACTGCCCCTGCCCTCACGTTCCTGCTCCACTGGGAAGCACCACCCGCCACGCTTTGTGCCCAGCTGTGCAGGGCTACAGGTGCTGGGAGGATATTTCCCTTCACTTTGGGTTTCTGAGCCACACCCGGCGATGCTCGGGGATCACTCCTGGGGGGGTGGGGCTTGGGTGGGAGGACCAAGGTGTGCCAGGGACTGAGCCCCGGTCAGCCACGTGCAGGGCAAGCACTCCACCTGCTGTACTGTCTCCCCGGCCCGCAGGAGGGTATCTGATGGGACTATTGTATGACCCGGCCAACTTGGGGTGCAGACACAGTTCCAGGAGGGGAGCAGGACACAGCGTCCGGTCTGCCCGGCTCTATGTGATGTCCTGGGGCAGGCTGCCATCCCTGGGGGCAAGCATGTGTCCAACCCTTTATCCGAGCCCTCTCACAGGGCCTCTCCGAGGGTGTGACTCACACAGACCACTTCAGGAAGAGGCTCGCTGGCAGGGGTGACTGTGTCCCCAGGGAGGTGCTCCATGCCTGGTGACCCAACACTTGACATTCCAGAGTTAGCACAGCGGGTAGGGCGTCTGCCTTGCACGCAGCCAACATGGCCGCCCCGAGTTCGATTCCTCCGCCTCTCTCAGAGAGCCCGGCAAGCTACCGAGAGTATTCGATATGCCAGACACAGTAACAACAAAGTCTCCAATGGAGACGTTACTGGGCCCGCTCGAGCAAATCGACGATCAACGGGAGGGCCTTTACTTTACTTTACTTTACTTTACATGTCGGGGACTATGCTGTTGGCTGGACATCAGGAGTCTGGACCCTGCGGTGTGGGGCAACGGGACCCAGTCACTGGTGCTCATGCAACTCAAGAATCCACAAAAGGAAACCGTCTTTCCTGGTGAACCGTTTATTTATTTGGCCAAGACCCAAAAAAAAAAAAAAAAAGCTTCGTGTTGTTTCCTTTTTATACAGAAAGTGAAACCTTTCGAATATATTAGTTATTCTCTTTCACCACAGAATTCAGCTCCACCTGGCTCGCGAAACTGCTGCTTCTCCTCTCAGGATTCGCGTTTCAGTAACACGTAGGCACCCATCACTGCCAGCAGGGCGTACTGCAGGGAGAGACAGCAGAGAGATTCATGGAGGGAGACGCTCCGAGCTGAATCCTGACCTGTGTTTGGGGGTGTCACCAGTACCAGACTGGGAATGGGACAAACAGATGCCCCGGTCCACATACCCCTGCCCCCAATGCCCACCCTCTTCCCAATCAGCTGTCGAATACCACTGCTGGGCCCTGGGAGCTGGGGAAGGGCTCACCCGCCTGGGTTTCTCTGGGTTCTTGCAAGGGCTTATATAAAAAAAAAAGTCATCTCTGGTTACCAAGCGATGGTACAGCAGGGAGGGCACTTGCTTGGCACACAGCTGACCTGGGACTGATTCCCGGCATCCCATAGGGTTCCCCCAAGCACTGCCAGGAGTAACAGTGTTCCTGAGTGCAGAGCCAGGAGCAACCCCTGAGCATCTCTGGGTGTGACCCAAAGACAAAACAACAACAACACAAAAGACGCCTTTTATGCAGAAGTCAGGAAGGGGGAGCAGCACTGGCTTTACTGCCTGAGAGAGAGAGAGAGAGAGAGAGAGAGAGACAGAGGGAGATAGAGAGACAGAGAGACACAGAGAGAGACAGAGGGACAGAGCGAGACAGAGAGAGTGAGAGACACAGAAACAGAGAGACAGAGAGGGACAGAGAGAGACAGAGACAGAGAGAGACAGAGATAGAGAGAAAAAGATGGAGACAGAGAGACAGAGATAGACAGAGACAGACAGAGACAGAGAGACAGAGAGACAGAGACAGACAGACAGAATCAGAGAGACAGAGATAGACAGAGACAGAGAGAGTGTGTGTGTGTGTGTGTGTTTAAGGGTTCCACAGTATTTTTTTAAAAAGCAACAAATACACAGGAGTCACTTTAGAACACACACGTATTTTACGTGTTGTCCATCTAAATGATGTTCATTTGCAGTCAAGTCTAAGTTCTAAACAGAGGGTACCGTTGCCCCTATAGGTGTAAAAGCTCCCACATCTACGTTTAAGCAGACACACGTGAATCCCTACCTTGAATTTTGGGTAGTCATTCATGATGATGGTGACCATGCCGACGTAAGGTAAAAACCTAAATGGTGGGATAAAACAGCAGAAATATCAAAACGGTGAGGAGTGGACAGCAGTGCAGCCCAGGGCAGCCAATAAACCTCCCGAGAGAATAGCACTGATTGGGACTGCACCCCCACCCCTCCGCCTCCAGGCTCTGATGAGGACCAGGAGCTCGTCAGAACCTGACCTGTCTTCTAATTGCTGCATTCACAGGGGAATTAAAATAACCGGGCGAGCCACTTGTATGAACCGGAGTGAGCAGCTTTTGTGGACGCCTTCCTAATTTTTTTTTTTTTTTGTGGCCAACAGCTTTTATGATGAGGCACACTTTTAAAGGAGGCACACCGGGCCGTTGGCAGGTCACTGGGAGAGTTCTCATGCTCATTTCACGGTGCTTTTTGGGGTAACAAACGAACTGATTGAGCAGTGGATACAAACGGGAGCCCCTGGCTGACGCCCCCTCGGGACTCTGCTCCCAGAGAGAGGAGACACAATGACCATTCCAGTCTTTCATCAGGGTGACCAAGCCTGAAGTGGCTCTAATGAGAGGGGGAGGAAGAGAGGGTGGCAGCCTCCAGCGCTGGGGAACACACCGGAACACACCGTCCTTCCAACTCTGCTTCCACAAAACCTCTTCCCAGAGGGCCTGACAGGTGCTTAAGCCGGGGGCCCTCAACACGGACTGAAGGTCTACCCCAGAGAAGACTTTTTTTGTTTGTTTGTTTTTGGGTCAGACCCGGAGATGCACAAGGGTGGTTACTCCTGGCTCTGCCCTCAGGAATTATTCCTGGCCATGCTTGGGGGACCATATGGGATGCCAGGGATGGAACCCAGGTCAGCCAGAGGACCCTAATTTTGATCCTGAGCAATGGTTATGGTTCACCACAATGAACCGCTGTTACACATAATCTACTTGCAGTCGGGGTTAGACCTTGGGCCCCGGGTCCCGCCTTCTGGCATACACACAGCAGCTACCGTCACGGTGCCTTCTCCCCCGCACCAGCCTCCACAGTGCTCAGTGGAGTCCTGGCTGCTCAGACCGTCAGCTTAAGCCACCATGCTCACCCTCGGGCGCGGCCCACCACGTCCTTCTTCTCCAGCCAGTTCTGGCCTTCCTTGTACAGGCCTCTGTCGTCCACTTCGTTATTGTCTCCTTTCGTCAGAAACTTGATGTCGCCGTTATCTCTGGAAAGAAACACAGTGTCCCTTTGACATGGCTTTCTGCCCAGCACCATCCAGCCAGTGTTCGTTAAGGAACGCGGGGGCGGGAAGCCAAGATCGAGGGAGCTCTCTTGCTTTGAGTGGGTTCCCCACGGACACGCATGCGGCCAAGAGCACAGGCTAACGGCAGCCCTGGAAACGCTCAACTTTCTACCAACGGCCAGTGCGTTCCCAGAAACAAGTGACGGGCAGACACACTGAACGGTGTTTCAGTGGCCCTGTGTGGACTATGCAGTATTAAAGGGTTATGGAGCTTTTATAAAGACGGTCTTCTTGGCAAACCCGTGGGAAGAAACACATTTTGATCATTTGGTAAAATATTTTTAAAAGAGAGAAGAAAAGTGCCTGCCATAGAAGCAGGCAGGGGTAGGCGTGGTGGGAGGGAAAGTGGGGACATTGTGGGTGGGAAATGTGCACTGAGGAAGGGACAAGTGCTGAAACATTGTATCACTGAAACCCGATCATAGGCAACTTTGTAACTGTGTATCTCATGGTGATTCAATTTAAAAAATTAATAAATAAGCCCCCCAAAATAATATTTTTTTAATCCACCAAGATTTTTAACCACATCCAAAGCAGCACTGGCCTACAGCTGTGGTTCTGAGGAAAATTCAGGGGACAAAAACCTGGGTCACAAAAACAGTAGAAATGAGGGCCAGAAAGACCGGTCCATGGTTGGAAGGATGCCACACGGTTGGGGTGACGTGGGGAGAGGGTGGTTAGGATAGAGAGGGGACCGCTATGACAATGATAATGGAAGTGATCACTCTGGACAAGTCCTGAGTGCTGAAGGGACATGCCTGGATAACCTTTGAGTACCTGTACTGCAAAGTACAATGGCCAAAAGAGGGGGTTGTGGGAGGGAGGGAGGGATTGAAGTAGGGAGGGAGGGAGGGAGGGAAGGAGGGAGGGAGGGAGGGAGGGAGAGAGAGAGAAGTGACTGCCATAGGTAGTGTGGGTGGGTAGCGGGAGGGAACTAGGGACACTGGTGGGGGGAAATGTATCCTAGTGAATGTATACTGGCTGCCTGAACACTGTATGACTAAAACCCAATATGAACAACTTTGTAACTGTCTAGGTCATCTCAGGATTTACAGAACTCCAGGTCGTTATTATCTGAGTTTAGCCAATGGCTCATTTTTTGGATGGTGCTGGGTCCAGGGGCAATGGAAACACTGTGACTGAGCGTATTTCTGGTCAGGAAGTTAATGAGCACATCTTGCTCCCCTCCCCCCCTCCCCTCCCCCCACAGTCTCTTAACCTCTTAAAGGAAACTAGACTACGCTCTCAGGTCAGGGTGCAGTGAAGCGAGTATCTGAAGCTGCAGCCTCTGGGGGAACACCTGCCAGCAGTCAACGGGATGGCGCCTCCACTAGAGGAAGGTGCAAATAATTAGACAGACGCACACAAATTCTCCACTATTTGAAAAACCCAGGTCTCCATAATACTTCAGTTTCAATCCCTAACTCCTAGAGTCAAAAGTGCTTCAAGAGATCAAGCCAGGATAGGTGAGCTTCTACTACGGGCTGTGTTCTCTGCCAGGAACCTGACATAGCGGAACGAAGTCATGCTTCCGGGACAAGTCACCACTGGCACTGACAGACAGGAAACGATGTCTGCCAGGTGGGGTGGGGGGGGCGTGCAGAGGGAGAGTGGGGGGCAGAGGAGCCCCATCCCAGGGCTGCACGTGCCCTGGAGAAGCAGAGGAGTCCGGCGGGGCAGACACTTGTGAACACGTGGAGCCCGGGTGCGTCTCAGAAAAAAAAAAATCAATCCCGTCTCAGAATAACCCTCCACGACAAGGGGATTTGATTTTCCTTTAAGGCTCTTCCACACGATGGACAGGCGCGGTACTAGACTCCCTCTCTGTGCGGGGGAAGCAAGTCAGAGCTCCAGTGCTTCTGCGAACTTGCCCTCCCCTAAGGCACCGCGGGGTGCTGCTGGCTCCCGTGGGTGGAGGGGTGGGGAGGGAGGTGGAACCTCCTTACTTTTCGTGGACCTTGATCACTCTGTGCACAATGGGGATGTCTCGTCCTTCCACCTTGAACACAACAATCTCGCCCGCGCGGATGGGGTCTTCCCGGAAGTTGGTGAGGAACAGGAGGTCCCCTCTGTGGAAGGCTGGCTCCATGCTGCCGCTGGGAAGATACAAGGGGCACAGGCCTGACACCATCAGGATCACCCACAGAGGCAATCCCCTTCAACACCCCTCCCCCCCGCAAGAGGCAAGCCCGGGGGGCTGCCTGCTGGAGTAGCCAAGAGGCTCACAGACGTGAGAAGGACAGCCCCCCAGAGCGGCCCCACCGCGGCCTAACCCAGGGAGAGGGAACCCAGACTGACACGGGCGCTGAGCTCCGTCTGGAATCCACAGGCACTATTTTCACTGGGAAGAAGGCAGACTCCTAAAGCTGGTTATTGAATTTCATGGCAAAATTGTCACACCCCGTCATTTGGTCCCAAAATTGGTTTAGAAGGTTTCGCCATGCAACCGTCACGTGGCACAGACTTCTGGGCCGGGCACCACTTAAACAGTAGATGGAGCAGAAACGCATTTCCCAGCAGCAAACGGATGTGCATTTGCCTCTCAAGCACTGCAAACCCCGGGCCTGGGATTCCGTGCAGAGTCTGCACATAAATAAACCCTTTGCAGACATGAGTGGATGCTGAGCTAAGAGGCATAGGGGTGACTAAAAGTTGGGATTTCGAGTGGCAGCGATAGCGCAGCGGTAAGGGAGCTTGCCTTGGGCAGAGTGGACCTCGGATCCATCCCTGGCACCACATATGGTCCCCCGAACCCACCAGGGGTGATCCCTGGGACAAGAGCCAGGATTGAGCCCTGAGCACTGTCAGTTGTGCCCCCCCAAAAAAAAAACATAGAAGCAAGCAAACCCAAAAGAGCTGGAACCTTATACTGCCCAGAAACCATCATCAAAAGCTTCAAAAAGATTTCTGAAAGCTTTGGAACGTCAGATGCAGTCGAAGGATCTGAGGGGGACTGCCCTGGCTCAGTGACACAGTGGACAACACACGGCAACAACAACACCCAAAACACAGACGCTTCAAGCGCAGGTCAGGCCCTCCGAGCCCGCCCTCCGCAGCTCTGGGACTTGTGTCCAGTCACCTTTCTCTCGAGGGTTGGAGGGCACACCCAGCAGTGCTCAGGGAGCCACAAGCAGTGTCAGGGTTCGAGCCATGTACAGGGGAAGTGCCTTGGGCCCTGTGCCAGCTCCCAGGCCCCTCCCGCCCTCTTCTGACAACAAAGCACTAACATGCTCCTTCGTTATGCCCTCATCCCGAGATGGCACAGCACCGCTGCCCCGGCCGTCAGAGGGAGGACCAGAGTCCACCAAGGAGATGCCCGCTGTGCCTCGGGGCCAATGTAGGGGTGCAACCAGCAATGAGGGAGAGCGGCAATTCCTCACCCCAGCTCAGGCAGGAGGGGTGAAGGGGATGAATGCACTCCGAGAGGAGCAAAGGAAGTCTCGGCACTAAACTGAGGCATGCCTGTCGGTGGGGGAAGAGAGATCTCGGGGAGAGATGTGCCCTAACTAAGCACAGGGCTGAGGCCTTGCATTCAACCAGTCAACTTCAACCCCGGCAATGGAGGGGGACCGCAGGCCTCTGCCAGGAGTAAGCCCTGGGCACAGACGTATGTGGTCTGACCCCCAAAACAAAAACAACAAAACACCCCCCCCAAAATAGAATCCAGAGGCAAGGAGATAGGACGGTGGTTAGGGCACATCCCCGGGATATGCCAGACCAGGGCTTGATTCCACATGCCCCGCTGCCCTCCCAGGCATGGCGGGATATAGCCCCAAGGACTCCCGAAGTCCACCCCAAACATATACGTCATCAAGTCAGAGAGACAGGATTGGTCTATGGTGTGGGGCGCTGGCCTTGCACGCTGCCCACCCGAAGCCATCCCCAGCACCAACCATGATCCTGAGCAAAGCCAGGAGTGACCCTTGAGCACAGAGTCAGAAGGAAGCCGTGAGAACCACTGGGCAGGGCCCAAACCCACCCACCCCCACCAGGTAAGAATCAGTAAGGCCCTTCAAGACTGCGCCCAAGCTGGGCTCTGGGCTGGTTTCAGTAATTTCCAAGCACCTCGAGTATGGCAACCTCCTCCCACCGCCCCCCCCCCCCCCAGGCCACATACCCATTAAAAAAAAAAAGATGCAAACTAACAGGAGTCAGCTGTAAAAGAATAATATCACTGCTCTACAAATAAGTATCAATACCATATTGCTGTTCGTTCTAGAAACAGATGCCATTGGGCTATGCTAGCACTCAACAGGGATGAATGGAGACGTTACTGGCACCCGCTCCAGTAAATCGATGAATGACAGGGATCAAGTGATCAAGTGACCATATTGCTAAACTGTTACCATGCAGGGATTTAAAGAATTACTTTGTTTTTTGTTTTCTCTGGGCCACACACCCTGTGATGCTCTGGGTGACTCCCAGCTCTGTACTATCACTCCAGGCCCTAAAAATTTACTTAAAAACAGGAAAGCAAAGGGTGGAGAAGAAAAGCAGAGACTCTGGTGGAGGGTGTGGTGCTGGGACGTTTTAGCATGAAACGCTGCTGTTATTGGTATTGCAAATGATGGTGCCTGTCACTGTCACGGTACTCCTGTTGTTCATCGATTTGCTCGAGCAGGCCCAGTAACGTCTCCATTGTGACAATTGTTACTGTGTCTGGCATATCGAATATGTCACGGGGAGCTTGCCAGGCTTTGCCGTGCGGGCGAGATACTCTCAGTAGCTTGCCAGAAGGAATCGAACCCAGGTCGGCTTGGTCGGCCGTGTGCAAGGCAAACGCCCTACCCGCTGTGCTATAGCTCCAGCCCAATAGTACCTAAAGTAAAAATTAAAACAAAAACAAAAAAAGTAGGGTAGCACCAGACAGCCTCCCCACCAGCAGTGGATGAGAGTTCCCTTTACAGCACATCCCCGCCAGCACAGATGATTCCTATTTTTGACATGTGCCATTCTCTCTGGTGTGGGATGGTCTCTCATTATCCTCTTGATTTGGATTTCCTGACGATGAGTGATGTTTGGAGGATGGAGAAGGAAAGAAAAACGGGGGGGGGGGGGTGGGAGAAGAGAGTGGGAAGCAACGGGCGAGCAGATGCCAGGGCTTCGATTACACCCGTGACGGGGGTGAGAGGCATAGCGGGTTATCCCAAACACAGACTCCACAACACTGAGAACACGAGATCTAAGGGCAGCCACTGGAACTTTGTCATGTGCCTGTCAAGATGACGGGTGGGGGCGGGGGGAGGGGGAGGGGCGGGGAGGGAATCTGGGAACACTGGGGGAGGGAAGTTGACACTGGTGGTGGGATTGTAGCACTGTCCTCCCATTGTTCATCGATTTGCTCCAGCGGGCCCAGTAACATCTCCATTGTGACACTTGTTGTTACTGTGTTTGGCAACATCTCCATTGTGAGACTTGTTGTTACTGTGTTTGGCATATCAAATACGTCACAGGGAGCTTGCCAGGCTTTGCTGTGCAGGAGATTGAATGCTGAAATCATGTATGGCTGAAATGCAACTATCAGTAACTCTGGAAGTCACAGTTCTTTAATCACACACACACACACACACACACACACACGCACACACGCACGCACACACACGAAAAAAATAAATTTAAAAAAAATTGCTGCCCAAAAAATTGCTCTGGAGTGGATGCCCGTAAAGTCCCAGATGCCTTCTGAGGACCATACAGGTTCCTCAGGGAGCCTACAGGGTGCAACACAGACGCCCAGACACAAGCACGAGGGTGGGCAGCTCGGCTCGGGCCGGGCTGGGACCTACCTCAGCACCACCACGATGGGGCTCTCGCTGCCCGTGAGCACGATCAGGCCCTTCCAGATCATCAGCGCGGACGACACGATCATGGCAAAGTTCAGAACCTGGTAATAGAGCTGACGAAGAGGCAGGGTGAGAGGGCAGCGGGGCTCGCAGGGGCTGTTCCTATGGGGGGCTCTCAGGGGGGTGGCTGGCCTTGCGGGTACGGGGCCCTGGGTTCGCTCCCTGGCACTGCAAAACAGAAACCTTTTCCCCTAAGAGAGTGACGGCCAGCTGGGCCGGCGGCTGCTTGGCTGTCTCCTGTTTTGTTTGTTTTGGGGGGGTCACATCTGGTGATGCTCAGGGGTTACACCTGACTCTGCCTCAGGAATGATTCCTGGCAGTGCTCAGGGTTACCATATGGGATGCTGGGGATCGAACCTGGGGCGGCCACATGCAAGGCAAGTGCCCTGGCCACTGCACTATGGCTACTGCTGCTGTCTCTTAGCTTCGGGCTGCCCTCACTTCCTTCCTGGGCTTTCAGCCGGAGGAAGCATCTGCTCCCCTCCCCTGCCCGCGGCTGTAAGCGTGTTTCTGCATGAGTGTGACCAGACACGCTGGGTCCCCCCTCACTACCCACTGGCTCACCCAACACCCTTTCCAGAAGGCCCCAGTAAAATGAGTCTGGGGTCCCGGGTTTTTGAACAAGACGGTTTTGCTCAATGACCCCGGTGTAACTGGAAGTGAGCCAGAACACAGGGCTCTCGGAGGACCGGATGCAGTGGACAGGACAGTTTGGGGGGGCGAGGGACATGACCCAAAGGACTGAAGCACAGGCCTGGTCCAATCCCCAGCACTACACGGTCCCCTTGAGCACCCCAGGACGGACGCCAGGACAGACCCCCAGCTCCAAGCGGGGAGTAGCAGGAGCGGGCCCCTAACAAAGAGGAGACAGATGAATTCAATGCCAGGTTAAGCACCCGTTCTTCTAGTGCTCAAAGCCGAGTATACTCTGGCTTGGGAAAGGCACGAGGAGACACAGCAGCAGGTCCGTGACCCTACCCATGGGCCGTGACGGCGGCCACACGCCAGAAGCATCCGGAGCCTTTGTACAGAACACACCCGCAGTCCAGCATGGTCGGGCAGCGGCCAGCCGGGACCCAGAAACAGCTTCCCCCAGTGTCCACACGGGGGCTGAGACCACACCACACTCAGGGTCGCCCACCTCAGTGTTCCCACGGGCTCCTTCCGGCAAACATCTGCTTAGAGCTGCCACCCTGGGTGCCTCCTTCCCACCCGGCCCACTGTCCCTCAGCACCTCCAGTTTCCCCGGGCCCCTGGGACACCCCGAGACTGCTCCTCCCCACCACTTTCTTCCCCTCCACCAAAACCCCAACACTGCCACAGGCCCATCAGGGGGACTATAATACTCCTCATACTGAGACTCTGACACTGAGACCCCAATACAGAGACCCTCGACACTGAGACCCCAATACTGAGACCCCAGTACTGAGACCCCCGACACTGAGACCCTAATACTGAGACCCCGGACACTGAGACCCCAATACTGAGACCCCAACACTGAGACCCCTGACACTGAGATCTCAACACTGAGACCCCCCGACACTGAGATCCCAATACTGAGACCCCCCGACACTGAGACCCCAATACTGAGACCCCCGACAATGAGATCCCAATACTGAGACCCCAATACTGAGACCCCCAACACTGAGATCCCAATACTGAGGCCCTAATACTGAGACCCCCGACACTGGGACCCCGACACTGAGGCCCCCACTGCCTCCTGGCAGTTGCATGTGGCTGTGTCCGAGAAGCCTGGCATGAACCTCACCTGCCCTCCACCCTGAGCTCAGGCATCCTGGGGTCCACTGTGCCCGACTCCTCTACGTCCCCTCTCCGCTCCAGCTCAGCAGGGTCCCCGCCCCTATCCGTGCTCACTTTCCAGGCCTCCCGGCCGCCTGCCCCCTCGCCAGAAGCACCGAGACTACTCTGGGTCCAGTAATTCCGACTCCCAGAATTCCAAATTCCCACTTGGGAATCAAGGCAGATGGGAAACTGCGACTCAAAGATGGTCCCTGGTCTCTCATCTGAGGACGGTGGTAAGGAAATAGATGCAGCAACAGGGAAATGACTGAGTAAGTGGCGGTCCGTGAGGGCACCATTGAAAACTTCTGCAAAGAACACTGTCACCATTCATCTCTGCTGGAAACCAGCGAGCCCGCGGACCGGCTGGACCATTTCCTTCCACAGGGCTCTAAGGAAGGAGAAAGAATTCTGTCCCCTTATCCCCCTCCCCCACCCCCAGCCTCACGTCCTTCCCAGCTGGATAAAATCAGTCTGGTAACAGAGGGTGTTGCCAACATGAAAACTATTAAAATGTGGACTTGGGGGGGGGGGGGAAGGTGGCTGGAGCAATAGCACAGCGGGGTAGGGTGTTTGCCTTCCACGCGGCTGACCTGGGTTCGATTCCCAGCATCCCATATGGTCCCCTGAGCACCGCCAGGGGTAATTACTGAGTGCAGAGCCAGGAGTAACCCCTGCGCATTGCCGGGTGTGACCCAAAAAGCAAAAAAAAAAAAAAAAAAAAAGTGGACTTGGAGGAGGTGGGTCCGCGCGGGAGAGCCTGACCCCTCCACACCCAGGTGAGGGTCCCTACTAGTACTCCCCTGCAAGACTGTGATTGCTCCTGCTCGCTAACAAGCAATGCAGAACACAGAAAAATAAAGCAGACTTGGAATGATGTGACCAAACGCGAAAGCTGGCCAGCACCGTGTACACCGGCCATACACCCAGCGCTCTGAAAGGGGTTAGAAATGAAACGCAGGTGAGGCCCGGAGACCAGGACAGCAGCAGCTTCACCTCTGGAAGGACGGACGACGGGCTCGTTCTTCTTTCTGCCATTCTCTAGTCTTCCAAATCCCACGACAAGGGGCCCGAGCCCCCGCCTGGCACACAGCCAGCCCAAGTTGCTTCCCTGGCATTCCACGGAGTCCCCAGAGCCACACCAGGAGTGACCCCTGAGCACAGAACCAGGAGGAAGCCCTGAGCACAGTTCCCCTCCAAAATCCCATGATGAGCATGAATTTTTTTTTTAACCTGGCCTGGGGGAGGTGCGTAGAGGTATTTAAAGGAAGTGTGATTTAACAGGAAATAGCAATGAAAATAAGTTTTACAAGTGCGGCAAAACCCTGGAAGCACATTCTGATGGGGCAGTAAGGTTAAAAAAGTCGTTCACGGGCTGGAGAGATAACACGGCGGGTAGGGCATTTGCCTTGCACGCGGCCAATCCAAATTCGATTCCCAGCATCCCTTATGGTCCCCTGAGCACTGCCAAGAAGCAACTCCTGAGTGCAGAGCCAGGAGTAACCCCTGTGCATCACCAGGTGTGACCCCCCCAAAAAAAAGAAAAAAAAAGCAGTTCACTGTCTCCTCCTGGACTACTTCAACAGGTAAAATTGTGCCTTTGGGGTTACTCGGAAGGATATAGTTGGAAGCAAGCGCACAGAGGAAAGGGACTTACATTTTTAAAAGTGAATTAAAGCAGCTGCAAAGATATTTTTCATTATCTATCCGAGTTAAAATGAGAAAATAAGTGACACAGGATTAAAGTGCACACCAGTTTTTTAAGATCCTTGGCAACCCGGTCAATAGCAAATTCTAAGACAGTCATTAAATTCTCAGGGAGTAGGGAATGGAGTGCTAAGTGGTTGGCACTGTCCAACCTTGTGGCTACAATTTGTTCAACTTCTGCCTCTGAAGCCGCTGCTGCTGCTCACATCGGAAAGAGGAAGTTGTTAACGGATGTTCACATTCAAGAACTTCGCTGAGGGCTCCACTTGACTTGGAGAATTTGATGAAGAGATGTTTTCCTTCTGAATTACAGTGCTGACTGGGAAAGCCCCGGGCGGTTTCAAACAGAGGCTGCTATTTTCAGACAGATTTGCAAAGAACCTTCTACCCTCGAGAAAGCAAATCACAAAACCTTGCCTCTGAGCTATTAAAGGCCCGGGCCTACCAACACGTTCCAGGGCATGATTTTCTAAGTTTGAAAAATTCACTGAGGGGAAATAAAATCGATTCCCTGAAAATTGTCCCTTCGAGCAAGACAGAGATTTGCTCAAGAAATGGCCGATTATCCACAAACCTAACAAGCGAACTGATGACAAAACCTCAAGTCTTCACGGGACCTCGCAATCTGAGTCCAGGGCTGAAATCCTGGTATCCAGACTTGTAATTCTGACAGAACTCATGGCAGCCTTTGACTGTTCATCGCTGCCAACCCACCCTGCAGGCCCCACACTGAGCAAGCCCTGTGCGACTCAGAAGTGAGCCCACCCTTTCGCCTCTGCAACAGGAGATGAAATAACCAGTGTCCGAGAGTTTCGAACAAACGTTTCGGGTATTTTGGCTGACAGCAGCAGAAATGCCAATAGCTGCATTTCTTCCTCCCTGCAGAAACAAAGAGCCCTTGTATCTGCATGTGGCTCTTGCCTTAATTAATACTAAGCAGAGGTGGCACAAAAAAAGGACCGCCCCCCACCCTTCCTAAGACTGGGGGAGCATGCGTGCTTGACAAAATGTCACAAGCTGCTCTTTTGGAGGGGAAAGAAAAAGGAAATGAGAGAAAGAACAAAGCTCCTATAATAGATTATATTTGCAATATACTGCATTATAATGTAATATACGTAATACTAGGAGGCAGCAAATTTGAGCTTCTGCATTTTCCTGAGACTGATAAAACAATGCAAATAGCCACAGACAGTCCTGCTCTGGGTGAGGGGGAGTTGACCGATTTTTCCAAATGCAGCTGGTAAAACAGGACGAATACGGTCATCAGAAGACCTTCTCTGATCAGCACCGATTTTAGGAATGTTTTAAAAATCTAACCACTAAGTCTAGATCTTCAAACCAAGTCCTATTTCCCAGGGACGTTCCTCGTGAGCAATATCAGTGCCCAGGGCCCCTTCACTGCTCAAGGCACCCAACTCTCTCACACAGTAGCCTGAGATACTACTTGGGAAGGAAAAACGGTGCCCAGATGCCCACATGAAGAACACCCTGATCCTAACTAGCCAGGGTCGAGCCATGGAAGGTGGTAACTTTTGATCTGGAGAGTCCACCCCATTTCCAAAGACAACCTAGACTTCCTACTTGGAAGGTTCATTTTCTTGACATAATTTAAAGTTACTCAGAGGATGGGCACTGGCTGTGTGTTCGGACCTATTCACATAGGCAGTGAAGTTAGGGTCGTCCTAACTTGCACCTATGTAGAAGCTGAAGCAATCTGCATCTTGCCTGGCGGAGAGGCCTCCGGGGCGATCCCTTCACTCTCTCTTTTCTTATTTTGAAGCGCTCCACTCCCTAGGACCAAAGCAGGCCAAGGAGAAGGGCTGCAGGGAGGAAGTCCAGGGAGGCGACCCCCACCTGGTGCCATGTCCAGGTGCTACCAGACGGTTCAATCTGGGAATAAAGTTCGGGAAGACGTTGGGAAGGGCCTTGGGAACGCGGACCCGGGGTGCCCCCCACCCGATCCCACCCGTGCTCGGACATCCGCGTGGGCTTGCTGGGCGTGGGGAGGGGCAGACACTGGCTCGCATGGGGACACCTGCGGTGGAGGCAATTCCTGGACAGTTCCCACTGCCCTTCCAAGTTCCTTCCTTTCCGCTCAGCCGTGCGGGACTGTCCCCGCTTCCCAGCCGCGATGCTGTCACCCAACGTCCGCGGCCTCCCTCTCCGCCTGCTCCCCCACACCTGGCGCCTGGAGGCCCGGGGACCCCCGTCTCCCTCGCTACCTGCGCCAGGAAGCCCCGGCACGGGCACACTCTTGGGTCTGTGTGTGCCCCTGACACCGGGGGCTCTCCCCGCCGCGCCCCCCGCCCCTCCAGCCCTGCCCAAGGAGCTCCGACTCCCACCCGGTGGCCACAGCCGGTGCCCGCGCCCAGGCGCGCCCCCCGCCCGCCTCCGTTACCTGCCGCTTGTTCATCTTCCTCAGGTCCCCGAAAATGTCCAGGCCCACCGCGGAGAGGTGAGAGCCCGCGGCGCCCGCGCGCGCCATGGCGTGGAGTCTGGGGGGTCCCGGCGGCCCGCGAGCTCCAGATGTCACCGAGTGCTGCCAAGCACCCACCCGGTCCCCGCCCACCAACCCCGCGTCCTTGCGGGCCGCGGGACCGGCGACTCGCTCGGGCGTCTGGGAAGCGTAGTCCGGCAGGTCGGGGCCGCCAGGCTAAAGGGGAGCGGGAAAACTACAACTCCCAGAATGCCACGGGGCGCGGCGCCGTCCAGGGAAGACCCAGGCTGCTCGGGAGGAGAGCGCGGCGGCGGGGCTCCCCCGGCCCTTCCGAGGGAACCTGGGGGGCAGGATATGCTGCATATCCCAGGGGCCACCCTGGGAGAGGGCTCCTGGCGGAGAACCGAGTTCCCAGGACTCTGGGGAGGCGTCAAGAGGACACCTAAAGTTCCCTGCCTTGCACCTAGCCGTGTACCTTCCCTATTGGGTGATCACACGCAGGGTGGGCGGGGCCTCCACGCCGTCCTCGAATTGCAGAGGCGCCCGGTGGTGGGCGGGGCTTGGAAGGGGCGGGACTTTTGAAACCGCTTGTGCGAAGGGCGTAAAAATTGAGTGCGGGAAACCACTCGGAGCCGTGTGCCCGTGGTTGTGTCACCACGGAGACTCATAGAGTGAATAAATAACCTCTAATTCAGGAGGAAACCAGAGGCTCGGAAAGAGTAAATGGCATGGCCAAAGAGTGAGAGTCTGCAGTAGAACGCAACCTTTTAAATCTGCAAATTCTCGGTGACAGCAGCCCGGATCCTGCTTTATCTTCAGCTCTCTCTCTCTCTCTCTGTGCATGACTTCGTTCTTTGTTCACACACCTACGCACTTGAGAAACACCAAGGAAAAGAAACAAACATCTTTGCTGCAATTCTTTTTATTTGGGGAGGTCCCAGCACCCCTTCCGGAAATTAGCATCCTCACTGACTGAACTAGATGGCGCCAGTGAACCAGATTCGTTTCATATACAAAGTGAACTAGGCGTCTGTGTTGCGATGCTACATATATTTTGAAGGTGGAGTTCTCAGCAGTGCTCTTGTTAAAGAATGGAGGGATGACGAGATACAATGGGTCAGGCGCTTACCTGGCACACACGCCCGGGTTTAAACCCCTGCACTACAAGTGTTCCCTCTGAGCCCCGCCAGGAGAGTGATCCTTGAGCACAGACCCAAAAGTAAGCTCTGAGCACAGCTCTGTATGACTCCAAAATAAAAATCTCTACAGCTCAGACAAGGAACTTCCGGACAGAAGGGGCTCCAGCCCCAGTTTTCTCCGATGCTGGGAAGCTGGTCCCGGGGAAACTGACCCCTGGGGTACTGATCCCCTCACTCTGTGACTTTGTTTCACACAAACCTAGCATTTGCTGAGACGGGCTCTGGCCAGAAACGCCCGCGCATCAGGGCTGTGTGTTTGTTCCACAGAACAGGACCCTGGCCGCCCTGGAGGAGGTCATGGCCTCTGGCAGAGGGTCCCAAGTTCCCCCCTGAGCTGAGGTTCTCCTCATCTCCCCAAGATAGAGCTGCTTCTCCTGCCACCCTGGCTCCTCCCCATGGGTGATTGAACCCTGGGGACCCGGAAAGATGCCCAAATATTCACACCTTCCTACAGCTTTTCCCACCGGCCTCCCCTGGAAGATGCAGCACGTTGGCATCTGCAGTCTGGGCGTGGTGCCCCGTAACCAAAGGACAGCCCTGCCCTGGCCATGCCCACGAGGGGGGAGAGGGTAGACAGGCAGCAGCCAGCTCAGAGCTGGCCTTGGCCTTGGTCCCTGGTGGGATATTCACCCCAGTGGACTGAGGGCCCGGTGACTTCCGTATGGCAGATTTCCGGTCATAGAGGAAGTTGGTGGGATTTGTATGTGTGCATATGTGCCTATGTGCATGTATTTCCCCCTAAAACATAACTGGTAGCAGGCTTTAGATTCTTCAGGGTGTTCTGAAGGTCAAGGACAAGTAGGGTGGGAGGGAGTCAGGGAGGGCCTGGCAGTGACCTTCCAGTCATTCCTTCCCTCTGCACACTTGTGACACAGTTTCCTGCACTGGCAGAGCAGTTCCTGCCAAACTGGAAGAGCTATGGTTTTTGTCTCACTCCCGTTCTCAGTGTCAGGCAGCCCTGTCCCTGAGTGTCATGCTGCTCCTGGTGTCACCCTTGCTCACCTTCTCTTGGCTACTGAAGCCGCCACACCTCTGTCTCCCTCACACAAGTGTAAAATCATGCTCCACCCAGGAGATTAGCTTCTCAGCCCTCTCACAGCTTTGAAGTTCATTCTCTTCTCTAGCAAACCTGGTTAACCACTAACAGTGGCTCTAATTGCCAAGGGGAACATCTCAGACTTGTTCATCAGCTGTACACACAGTCAGAGAATCCGGGTCCTGACAAGTTCTAGAATCTTCCAGAGACATCCTTCACTAGCACAGTGCTCCACGGGGCTCTGCACGCCCTCTCGTGGGTTTCACACACCAGAGCTGCATATTCCTAGTCAAGGATCTCCTCCTGGCTTGGCCCCTGAGTGCAGAAGGCAGTTAAGAGTAGTGATTCTTGGGCTGGAGTGACAGCACAGTGGGTAGGGCATTTGCTTTGCACGCACCTACCCAGGTTCAACACCCAGCATCCCATAGGGTCCCCTGAGTAATTTCTGAGTTCACAGCCAGGAGTAAGCCTTGAGCATTACCAGGTGTGATCCAAAAAAATGATTTTTTTGAAAAAGGGTAGTAATTCTGTGAAACATTAGCAGAGTTCTCCACTCAACAACACCCCCTAGTCTTACTGAGACCGGAAACCACCCTTGCAATCAGTTGTCAGAGTTCTTTGGGTGGCAAGCGACAGAGATGGAAGTCAGAGCAGATGAGAGAGAGAGAGAGAGAGAGAGAGAGAGAGAGAGAGAAAGGGAGGGTGTTTGCAGGGAGATGTGGGGAGCTGATTCAGCATTTAGGAGTCTGTGTGTGTGTGTGTGTGTCTGTCTGTCTGTCTGTCTGTCTGTCTGTCTCTCTTTCTCTGCTTCTTTGCCTCTGTCTGTCTCTGCTTCTCCCTCTCCTCTTCCGGGAGCCATAATCTGGCAGACTGTCGCGAAGGTCCACTACCTTGTCAGAAAGGCTGTAGGCCGTGGGGCCCAATGGAGGACTCTCACCGGTCTCTCTGGGAGCTCAGCCTCATGGTGCAGGGAACCAGAACTCATGATCAAAGCCTTCTCTAGAGCTCCCTGGTGAAGGGACTACAGTGGGAGGGGGACTGTTCCCTCAGACAGTAGATTGTCTCCTCAGAAGTGCACCCCACACAGAACCGGGGAATGGACATTACTCTCAGGGTGTCTGCTTTACAGAAGCGAAGTGACGGGTAAGCGACCTGCAGGGTGTAGCCAGGAAAGAGTCCCTTCCAGGCAAGACAGAGCCACAGTGGAAGCAGCCATGTCGTCTCCAGTGCAACCACGGGAGGCCCCGTCAGGATGGCAAGTGCGATCCGGGACAGAGTATCAGCACCACACTCTAGCCCCATCTCTGACCGAGAAACACCATCCTCGCCCGTTTTGCACAGCACAGAGGCGCTGCTGAGCAAGTGCCTGCCTGGAGCTAAGCTCAGGCCCTCAGCGGACCCTACTACAGAGCCATGTCCTGCAGTCCCCTGGCCGTGTGACCTGGCGCCTCTCCTGCCCGTGGGCCGCAGCGGACCGGTGGTTTTCAATCTTTCGATACCCATGCCCCAGTCAGTTGAAGGTCACTGCCATGGACCCGAGGTTTCTGGGGTCTCAGCATAGGCAGAGACTGACCGGAAGTCAGGACACGTCCAGACGCCAGTTAATTGACGTTTCGGCCTGAGCATCAGAGACACAGGACGGGATCAAGGCTAGAAGCCCAAATAGAGCCCAGGAAAGTTTGGAAGAGGCTGGAGGTGTGATAGGAGGGTTCTCTCAGCATTGGCCAACCCAGGTTGACTCCTCACCACCGCGTACTTTCCCGCGAGCCCTGCCTGAGCATAGAGCCAGGAGTAAGGTCTGAGCACTGCAGACTCTGACTAAAAATTCCAACAGGCTTCATCTCATCTCCCTCTTACACCAAAACTGGAGGCAAGAAGGGTCACCTCAGTGACAAGCACTGGCAGAATGGGATATAGGGGGTTCATCCCTCCGCGCCCCGGGTTCCCACGTCTGATGTGCACCTGCTCTTTGCTGGCTGGCTGAGGAACACACTCAACTTCTCTGAGTCCCTTTCCCCCGATTATACATAATAGGGATATTAGTAAATACTTACCTACTTCCAAAGGTTGCTGAACAACCTACTTCAGGGGCTGAAGGGATAGTACACTGGTCAGGGTGCTTGTCATGCACATGGCCAACTTGGGTTTGATCCCTGGCACCCTATATGATCTTCTGTGCTCTGCCACGAGTGATCCCTGAGCACAGAGCCTGGAGCAAGTCCTGAGCACTGCCAGATGTGGCCCCCAAACAAAACAATATAAAACAAACCCATGGTATTTACCATACTTGCTTTGCCAACCACATACACTTGCAAAAAGCAATAAATAATGCTTATTACAAATTAAAAATAAATAAATAAATAAATAAATAAGTAAAGGCCCTCCCGTTGATCGTCGATTTGCTCGAGCAGGCCCAGTAACGTCTCCATTGGAGACTTTGTTGTTACTGTGTCTGGCATATCGAATACTCTCGGTAGCTTGCCGGGCTCTCCGAGAGGGGCGGAGGAATCGAACTCGGGGCGGCCATGTTGGCCGCTTGTAAGGCGAATGCCCTACCGCTGTGCTATCCAGGGCTGGGGCGATAGCACAGCGGGTAGGGCGTTTGCCTTGCACGCAGCCAACATGGCCGACCCGCGTTCGATTCCTCCGCCCCTCTCGGAGAGCCCGGCAAGCTACCGAGAGTATTCGACATGCCAGACACAGTGACAACAAAGTCTCCAATGGAGACGTTACTGGGCCACTCGAGCAAATAAATAAATAAAACCCAAAAATTAAGAATAACCTATTTCCAAAGATTGTCAGAAGGTTTAAGGGAGATCATAAGCACTTTCCTGTAAGTGCTGTAAGCACTTCCCAGCGGAAAAACTGGGGCTCTGGTCAGTGGCTTTGCTCCAAGATTAGGAACCATAAT